GTGACGAAATCCGTCCACTTCGTTTTCCACATTCTCCAGTTGCTAGCAGCGTGCTTTCCGTCATTAGTAGGGCAGTCGGCAGCGAGATCGACGGCTGTCCGCCAAAAGCGAGCGGGATTCGGCGCGTCAGCTTTATCTCCTCTGTCACCATGTTGCGTGCCTGTTCCTGCCAGCCACGCCAAGAAAGAAAACAAGCGAGCTATGCATACAAGCGCTGTATTCACAAGTCTCAGGCAAAGTACAACTAACTGTGATCTCAGTAACTCACCTGCCCACTCGATCGATCGCCTGATGAACTACACTGTGGCAGGCTATTCCGTTAGCCACAACTGTCATCCCCATCACAATTCGAAGCTTAACAGCTGATTCACTCGATGTGTATTACATTTCCGTGCCTTCACAAGGACGGCACTATCGAGATAGTATTTCATTAGGGCCTTGCAGACCAGTTATCTGACCAGGATAAGACACTTAGCTATCCATGGGCTTATGTGGTTCCAAGTAGGACTGCGAAAATGCAACCATCTGGTGTGAATAACGGGTTGCATGCATCCATATCCCATCACAACGCATCTAATAACGATAAAAATTCACGCCTGGGAGACAGTTTACATCAAAAGCTGTGCTATTGTTTATAATACTAATTATTTTTTTCTGTTCCACGAACCCCAACCATGTTACCTACTGTAATTACGTAACTAAAATGGACTGAAGTAACTGACCTACTGACTAAGAAAATGATGACCTCTTCCAAACAGTACAAACAGTTTACATGACGTTTGTTTGCCATACACTGCACAGGAGTCCAGTGATCCATCAACCCTAATGCGCTACGATCATGATGTCGAGTTTTTATAGGGTCTAATTGATAGGCTCCTTGACGCCGGTAAGGACTCGGTAAAAGTGGGGCAGGTTACCCATCTGGGAAAGCAAGGTGATCAACAAAATCGGCCTATGAGAATCACTTTTGTGGACGAAGCCAGTCCAAGACTGATCATGTCCCGCCTAAGTAGGCTGAAAGGTTTGAAGATTCATGTTCGTCCAGACCTGGACCCAGTAGGCAGGGAGCGGCTCAAGTCTATCTTCATTGAACTGAAAGGACGCACTAGTGAGGGGAAACAAATCTCCGTATCGTAAATTTTAGGGTGGTTCCCAACAATCCACGAATCAGGATAAACAGGCTACTCACACATCAAGCACGCCCGGCTGCTCCTGCTACGGCCTGCGAGTAGCCTTCACAAACGTTTGCAGTATTATGAATAAGCGCGATGAGCTTTGTTGTTTCGTTGCGTCTGAGCGGTCAGACGCATTGGGACTCGCAGAGACATGGCTGCATGCAGAGTTATACACCCAGGAACTTGAAATCAACGGTTACTAGTGTTTCCGATGCGACAGACTAAAGCATGCCCACTGTGGTGTCTTACTCTACATCCGGTCTTCCCTGCGTGGTAGACTTGTGAGCACCTACCGAAGTGACGATGGTTTGTGTGAGCTACTGTGGTGCTCCATCCGCCTCAGGCGCAGAGAACTGCTTGTGGGCGCAGTTTATCGCAGCCCCATGAGTCGTTGTTTGGATTGGCTGCCCATTCTTCGGACCCACATGAGTCGTCCACACTTCCTACTTATGGAAGATTTTGACTGTCCTCGAAAACGATGGCCTGATGTGCATTTGTTGCTTGGACATAGTGAGGTTGGAGCAAAGTTCGTGGATTTGGTATTTGAAACTGGGGCATCGCAACACATATGCCAGCCAACACGCATATCAGCACGTTCAACCTCGTCCTGTCTCGACCTGATGTTAACGAGCTACGAACAACGAGTGCGTGACGTTAGGATTCTGGATCCCCTGGCTACGAGCGACCATTCAGCACTGATGGCTGTTATGGAATTATCTTTGCCGTATTCACATCCGCTGCAACCAGCTCCCAACTACTGGAAAACGGACTTCGATGGTCTAGCTCGAGCCGCGAGCCAACTGGATTGGTCTCTGTCACAAGCTGCATCTGTGGAAGATTATTGGATATTTATAAAAGAGAGATTGACATCATTGTGCTCCTAATTTGTGCTATTGAAATGTCGGAAGGTTGGACCGATCAAGCCTCATTGGTTTGACTAGGAGTATGGAAACTTGGCTCGGAGACGGCGCAGACTGTGGGACAAATTCCTCCTCTCTGGCTCTGTCAATGAGTACGAAAGGTATAAATGTCAGCGGAACCTCTGCAATAGTGCAACAATAATAAACGCCGACAGTTTGAAGAGCAGCTCGCATTAGCCGCGAAGACCGCCCCAAAGGGAATCTTTGCATACGTGAAGCGACGCCTGAAGCCGGCAAGTGATGTGCCAGTGCTGGATGGCACGGATGGACAGCCCCTAACCTCCAGCACTGAGCGTGTGTCCGCGTTGGCGGCGCACTTCGCTTCTGTATTTGCGAATAACCAGGTGTCTGTTCCGAGTTCGACGTGTACCGCTTTAACCGAACTCGATAGTCTGCATTGCGGCGTTGAAGAGGTAGCTCAACTACTCGCCAACCTTGACAGCACCGAGCCTGTTGGACCTGATGGGCTTCACCCACTGGTTCTCAAGTCGCTTTCAACCATCCTTTCTCCTGTCGTGACTGACCTTTTCAACAGGTCGCTGTCCAAAGGTTTGTTGCCGGTTGGCTGGAAATGTTCGGTGGTGAAGCATATTCCGAAAGGTGGCGTCCCTAGCAAAGTAGACAATAACAGGCCAATTTGTCTAACATCTATTTTGGCAAAGGTTGCTGAGAAAATCATGAAGAAGGGATTGCTGCAGTTGCTACAGTCAAACGAAGTCCTTACGCCCGCACGGCACGGTTTTATACAAGGTCGCTCACGCATTACGTACCTGCTTGTGACGAGGCATGAGTGGTTGAAGGCAATAAGCAAGAAGAAGTCCGTCGACGTGAAATTCATCGATCTCAGTAAAGCGTTCGACAAGGTCAGTCATGAGGTTCTCCTTCACCAACTCAGAATGTGTGGTGTCGGTGGCTCACTGCACCGGTGGATCCGCGAATTTTTTGTTGGACGAAAGTGCAGGGCACAGGTCGACGACCATCTAACTGACTGGTGTTCCTCTACAAGCGGCGTGCCTCAAGGCACTGTGTTGGGGCCCACACTGTTCCCGATCCACATCAACGATCTACCGCAGCTTCTCCGGTCGCCGTGTGCCTTGTTTGTGGACAACATGAAGATTTGGAGAGAAATCGTCGCTCCCGAAGGCTGTGGCTTACTTCAGCAAGACTTCAACCGCCTATCCACATGGTCTGCAGAAGTTCTCCTCCCGGTCAACCCAACCAAGTCTGCATTTATGAGCGTGAGGAAGGGTGCTAACGGCCGAACCTACACCCTTGACGGCCAAATGCTATATCCCACACCCTCCGTGAAAGACCTAGGTGTACTCTCACGCTACGATTTGAAGTCCGTGGACAACAGGAACATACTATATCGTAAAGGACTGCGCATGCTTTGGGCGCTCAAACGTAGCTTCGGCACATGGTCTGAAGAGATTGCCACTCGCCTCTTTCCTTCTGTCATTAGACCAATGATAAAGTACGGTTCGCCCGCCTACTTTCCGATGACCCGAGGTGAGGCACAAAAGATCGAACGGGTCCAACACGTTGCTACCAGGCTGATCCCGAGTTTACGTGGCTTTGGGTATGAAGACCGGTGCGAGAAACTAGGACTCTACACCTTGCCCTACCGTCGGGTGCTTGCCGACCTCCTTATGATCTACCGTATTCTACATCTCGGTGACTTCCCAATGCTAAGGCCAATGCTTCATCTACCAGGGCCATGTAGCACACGCGGACACAGATACAAACTTGTCGTGCTGGATGTGAAATGTGTTCCCCACCCACTGTGCTTTGAACGGAGAGTGGTAAACATTTGGAACAGTTTACCTGAACATGTAATTGAGGCAACCTCTGCGCAATAGTTCAAAACGTTGTTACATTTGTATTTTGCCACTATTCGATTCAGAGAACGACTGCACACTTACGATGACATATCACATTTGTGAATCCTGAAATATCGTAAGTCAGATATTTTAAATATTATATTATAACGACAACGATATTCACGGCTGACAACTTTTATAATGTTTTTCATCACATTTCGGAAGATTTGTACAGAATTCATTTCTACTTGCTCTATAATACAGTATTCAGTATTCAGAAATCATTTGATACGTACTCAAAATGTAGTCTGCAAACCCTTACGTGGCGTGATTTTCAGCGTTATAGATGGTGTACCAAACAAAAGTCGCTAACAATGGGGGGGGTGAACAGCAGGAATGAGCCACGTTAGTTACGTATGATAAGCAATGAAGTCACAGCAAATATCTCCGGTGGTAGGTGAATGTGGTAAAATGTGCATTAGGCAAGGATTGATGATCGTACGAGCTCTACCAGTTCTTCAGCACACTGACAATACACTAGAGGTTCGAGACTAAAGTGAGTGACTAACAGCAAATGTGTCTACTGCATGATGCCAAACCTGACCAAATGTTCACAATACACTACACCACCAAGCTGTTGAAAACACATGCTCTTCCGTCTCTGCTAATATACGCCCCATACCAGATCATCTCTTGTTAAGTTTAACGCACGCGTCTGGCTAAAGTAAGCCAGTGTTCTTATTACGGACGTTTCGCTTGTACAAACACGTTCCAGTTGGACTATGTATTTTGTTTGGTTTCCTGACCTAGAGTTTTAGCTAGAAAACCCCCATAGACATGTATGCCCCCTGACTCTGGTTCTACTTGTTTCCCTACGACACGTGCTCAACGTTGTACATTCTGTGGACTCTCATCCGCTGACATTTTTACCGCTTGATGAATACTCATTCCTTCAGCTATGTCCTCACCGCGAATTCCACTTTGGACACACACCAACGTAGAGTGCTTGATTGACTGGACTATCGATCATTTTGCTTTAAATTGCGTAAGATTGAATTGCATAGTCCGTTGTGTAACTGGTTGGACTTCAGTTGACTGTTGCCGGCATTTGGTCTCGTTTGACATCCGGTTATAAGTTCAGAACAGAGCTATAGTAAATTTTGTAATAGATACTGTCGAGGTAAGTAGATAATTCCTTGTCCTAACCGTTTGTAAAAATGGCACCGTAGCGCACTTCTGGCTTTTGAATTGATCCGGGAGTCTTACGCGTTACCTGAATCCACTGCCGAGTTATAGATAACGGCCCTCGTTTAGCCCAGCCCCGTAAGCGTAAAAAGTGCAGGAAGTACATCCCATGGAAAATGTGACTGATTCCAGATGGATTCAAGGACTATAACCTAAACAACCTAGGAGTCACAAGGAATATAGAGTCCATCTACTCTTCCCGTATCTATACCCACATAATGATAACTGCGTCCATGTCACCTAGTATTCCCGATCTTGCTATGGACTGCTCCAGAGGGTCGATAAAATTTGCACGAAAAAGAACGCCAAATATATGCAATAATCAAATTGTTTGCAGTTGAACCGGACATTAATTAGAGAAAAAAATAATACATCTATTTTACTAGACCGAAAAAAATGTGGTGAATCACGACCTGAAAATTCTCCCTAAGATTTAAAGCCCTGAAAGTAAAACACAGCGTTTATGTGCTAATGGTCGTTCCCAACCAGCGATCATATACCGTTTTTAGGTAACTATACGGATTCATTTATTTAGTTTCTACATTCGAACTACGCATTCATTCAATAGCTCAATCCACGAGACGGGCATAAACCTTTTTGAAAATTACGGCGGACTAGGTGGTCGCAAAGATCTGTCCAGCTGACCCATAAAGTGAGCGAGCCAGACCGAGTCTTATTAAGTCATATCTCACAGTATGTTAAAGCATGCAAAATTTTAAGTCAGGGTGTCATCCTGATAATGATGCGCTCCTTACAATTGATGTAAATATGGATATCAAACAGCTGAGGTCAAATCTATCAACGCACCCATTGGTGAATAGAGCTTGAGAAGAATGGCAAGTTCCTACCATACGGGTAAAAATGCTGTTGCTTAACAGGTCCCGTGGGATGGTTAAGGTGAGACTACGAAATATAAACTAATTATTAGTAACCCTGGGTGAACACTGGTGAACTTAATGTAGTATACATATTATAAGCTGTAAATCTAGGGTAAATATATTTAAGGAATGCCGGCCAATGAGAGGTTTGTACTAATCCTGTCTCCTCCTGGCGTACACATACAAGAAGTGCAAAACTTAAACGACTGCCAGTAAAATCTCTTACAGACACCTGTGTTTATTCATGGGTAATGAGACATGTAAGATGGTGCAGCGAAATCAGTGTACGGTCAACTTGAGCTTTGCATTCTGCCACCGTGGGAGCACATATAACAGATTCCGGTAGGGCATCTCACATTCTGAAAACGGGTAGGGAAAAGAAATTCCAATGACATTCTAAACGACTATGCGTCGCTGCCAGTTTGAGATGGTGGCTTATCAAATTGCTGTTTAGACTGAGCTCCAGCAAATGGCGGAACGTGTGGTTGGGATCTTTCAAAATCTGATAAGTTCAGATGTGCTCCGCGTGCAATAGCTGATACTGTCCGCTGAAAACCCGAGCAATTGAAACCTATGTTCATATAAAAAGGTATACAGATTCTTGACAACTTTGGTTGCTCAGCGTTAGGGTATCTCCAGGACAGTCAGCTTTTTTCATTCATGGCTGCTAGACTTGTATTGCGTATGCCGCATGCGGTAGTACATATGAGTCCAGAAGTTGTGAAAACATCGAAGGGTCTTATCTTCCGAATGCACACTTCAGGCAGCTTACATTTGGATGCCCATTTTTGACGGCCTTTCAGCCTGTTTCAAACATCCATGGTCGGCCTAGGCCAAAACTCCCAGAGTCTTTTTGCCAGAAGAAGTTTGAAGCTCCAAGTTGTCGGGTTTTACAGAAGCACACCAACTTGTGCCATAAGTGCAGCACTAGATTTTCATCGATATTGAATCGAAGTAGGTTGTGGGGATTGGTCACAAGTATACCTTATCCAGCTCGGCTTGAAGTACTGTGATCTAATCTGGTGTATTGATCGCCCTCCGCACGTTGCTGTCATCCAGATAAAGCAAGCATTTTTAGCTTATGATGCGAATGCTTTCGCTAATGTACGCCAAAAATAATCGCGGTCAAAGTACCGATCCCAGCGGTACTGCGCATTCAACTCGGATTGCATCTGACAGCCATTTACGCACTCTTACTTCCAAGCGCCCGTGTAGAAGAAAGCTTTAGATCCATCCTAGAAAACGATCACCAATACCAAATGTCTGAAGTTCGAAGAGCAGAATCTCATGGTCTAACCGGTAGAACGCCCTTGAGAACTCGAGGAAAGCTACATTAATTACTGTGCCAAAGCTTACCGCTTCAGTCCAGTTGGATCGTGCTGGCAGTAGATTTATAGTGCACAAGCCATTTTGTCGGAAGTGTTGCCTTCCGGTGGTGGCAGTTAAATTCTTCTAACTCGACCATTAGTACATCAGAAATAAGAGCTTTTATAACCTTTGAAAGAACTGGTAGTAGGATTTTGCGATGTTATTTGTCTGGGTTGGAATGACTACCTCCCTTTTGAATGGGAGTAATCGCCCTGTGCTTCCACATGTTGAGCAAGTGCATTTCTTTAAAACAGTGTTGGAAGAGTCGTGCCAAAGGCTCAACAATGCTCTCTTCCACCGCCTTTAATAATTTTGTATGTATATTATTAGCCCTAGAAGAGCTGCGGTTGCACATACTCAACAACAGTTTAGTACAGCTTCTCCCGTGAAGTATATGTGAGTTAGTTTGGGGGTGAAACAACCATTGTCATAAGGCTACGTGACCAGTTATCGCACTGAAATGTTACAGTATATTGTAGGCGCAGGGCATTCGCCACCTCCTGTATCCGTGTGGATCCGTCCGCTATTTGAAGAGGAGGAATTCCCCGTTTCCTTGTACCTAGACCGTTTACATGTTGATACAGATGGTTGTGATTTGAGACCAACCGTTCTGCCAACTTCAGCTGGTACGCTATTCTATCCTCACGAACAAGCTGAGTACAGTGGCTAAGTTGGGTTGCATAGACCATTCGCTTCTCGGTGCCTGGGGAAAGTTTGTAGATATACTAGGTTTAGTTTCGCACTTACTTGTCCTGCTTCGTAGATATCAGACCACATTTGCCGGGCGGGTGGTCTTAGTAGCTAATCCGAGGGTCATTCAATAAATAAGGTGAATTTTCCGGTATAAGGGCTTCTAATACAGATAGAAGCTTACTTTTTATTTTTGTTGTTTTACTTATTTTTCACGTGGACGTAATTTCTTTTGCAGGTTGGAAAAAGTTTGAGTTTTAGCGATTAACAAAGATGGCCGACAAAGAACTATGCTCCTGGATTGAACAGCGGTCAGTTATCAAGTTTTTGGTTGCTGAAGAGTGTAAACTAGTTGAAATTCATATGAGCATGTCAACTATGTATGGTGCCACAAGTGTTAGCCGAAAAATATATACAGGTGGGCAAAATTAAAGAAGGACGGAGGAGTGTTGAGGATGAAGACAGGCCTGGGTGGCCCACAGAAGTGAGGTCTCCTGAGATGATCGAATCAGTCAATGAGTTCATTCAGTCGGACAGAAGGGTGACAGTGGATGACATTGCAAGGACTTTGAGCTTATTTGTTGGGACAGCACACAAAATTGTCCAGGATGACCTTGGTTACTCGAACTTCAGCTGCCCGTGGGCGCTAAAGATGTTGACTGCAGAGAACAAACCGAGGATGGTCGAGTTGTGCCAGCAGTATCTCTGCCGCTATGAGAAAGATGGTGGTAGTGAGTTAAACTGACTAAAGAAACCTTCCCATCCACTAGCTGTTGCCTCGTCCACCACCACTTAATCTATTTTATATGTCGCAGCGTATAAACGTTTTTTTTAAGTTGGCTATTTCCACTGGATTTACAACCTAACAAATTTATTTAAAGTGTATGATTATATGATCGCTACGACTTAAGGGGACGTTGACCATCACTATCCACCATTAGTTCTTAGTTGATGAATATCTGATATAAGATTGACAGATTATCTTTTTCTGGGAATCGGCTGGTAATTTTGATGTGACCATACAGCAGACAACTGGAGACAAAGAATAGGATAGAGGTCTTAAACTGTCTTCGTGGAGCTGCTTGGGATTACAGAGCGTGGATGTTGGAATCGCCAGTAATCAGAATGTGACTGTAAGTTGTATTTATTGTCATTCTTATTGCGGCTGACAGATAGAACTCCATCGCAGACGTGGAGGAATGAGGGTGGTGGATGACCACCACTAATCAAGTGTCGTCGCCTTTTACACGTAGACGACACCACAGGGAATCTTGTATTATGATGACCGGATCCTCTAGGAGCTCACATTGGAAGTGGCCGCAGAAGTACAGAGCCACTCCTCCATCTTTGACGAACAAAGGATATACCTGGCAGTGCGATGTTTATGTCATTTAGGTCAAGGCGTAACCGTGTCTTCGTTATAGCCATGGGGTCGCAGGCTTCTGATACTGGACGTAGCCGCATTTCGGAAACTTTACTAAGTAAGCCTTGAACGTTGGTGTGCATGCAAGGAGGCTCCTCGAATGTCCAAAGCTGTTACCTATTAGCACACGAATTGTTTGGATTTGTACCGACCGGTGAGAGGCCGGTACCAAATGGTTTTTTTTGGTGAAGTGCCAAAGCTCGTTTTTGGTCACACGTGCACCTGCGGTGTGTAGTCCATCGCCAACCTTCTCGATAGCTACGAGTCTTAACGCACAGGTTTCTGAATCGTTGTCGTGGTTATATTGAGTCTCGAGTGGGATTGTTTCCGCGAGAACGGCGTGTGCCTGCAGCTTTCCAAATGCTGTCTTCAGTCATAATTCCGAAGGAAATGTGTTGCGTAGTGCCTGCCAGCTACGGATTAGCTTCACGGCCATCTGTTTCGAGTGCACTGTTATTTGTAATATCCTTGAGCCACTGTTTCTGTAATTTGGTGACACGGGTAACCGTGTAATTGACCGAAGTATGACTTCGCCAGCACTGAGAGCTTGACGGATGCAAGTCCATTCTTCCAGGTCAGAAATGTGGCCTTCTTCGTTGCTGGTTGTCCGTAGCTCGGGCACCCCATGAACGCAAATTATTATTTTCTACCCTTCATGTGGTGTCTGTTTGAATTATTTTTGTCCCGCTTGCGTTTGCTTCATGGAACATCCGGAAATATGCGTATCCCACTGTTTTCAATCCGCAGGCACTATCTTGACTAAAGCACCATCTCGACATCATCTGATCCCAATGTTACTTGCAGTAGCCGGGGCTCCCCGTTAGCAGTTCAATATTCAGTGAGTGCCCAATGGATGGGCCTGTGCAGTCTCATACTTGTCTAGACGATGTGTTAGGAATCATTCTGCAGCGTACCGTACAAATGCCAATAGATCCAGGAACCAGTATCCATGGAAGATTAGTTATCGTTTACCCATTGCACACTATATTCCTGAGCTTAATGTGTCCTCAGCGCTAGCCGACACTTGATAGTATTAGTTCATACAAATCAGCTTGCATTTCGCGGCAAGTGCCCGGAGAATTAACTCTTTCCTTTGTTTGAAAAAAGTGGACGCATGGAGAAACGATTAAAAGGCTGCATGGCCTGTTTATCCGTCTAGTACAAATCGGAGTGAGGGCACTAGGAGAAAAAGAAAAAATGCAGCATCTACGGTCTGACATCAAATGAAGGAACTATATCATTAACAATTCAATCCGATTTTACTAGCAGAACTTCTCTGCAAAATTACTTTTAGACTCCAGCGCTCAGATATGCTGTGCTGTAAAGCTAGTCGGAATACCACCTGAGTTGGTCCCAGCCCAGTTCGTGGTAATAATGGAGAGCTCTTCCAGACTACGCTATTGTTCCAGCACCCTTGTATTTCTTAGGAAACGGGTTAGTTGTCGTTTATATCATTTATGTTGTTGATGTAGAGTGAAACAAAGATCCATAATTGTTATCCTATGTTGTGTTCATATATTGAGGATTCCCAAGACGTCCGTTAATGTGGTGCTCGCAAACCTTTTCAATGAGGTCACTGCAAGTTCTTTTATACCTCTTCATAGAATTAATAATGAACGTCCGCCGAAGCACCCACTGTTTTGCAGCTAGATTCGCCGTCATAGTTGTGATTCACCTCATGGTCATACCGGGGTGTTCCTTATGCTTAGACTTCTAACCCACATTAAATCAACCTTGGTTTTATCATTAGAGATCCTGAATTGCTGTACCAGAGAACGCATACACCCTCTACATGTTCACCGTTCTTAGTGTGGAGAACCATGGCAAAAAATCCACACTGAGTGGATATGAACCTCACCCGCACAGGCACAGTTGACAACCTCGACTAGCCATCAGCAAAACAGAACGAGTTTTCATAATGTTTTGGAACAATAGTTTATTACAGGTAAAAAAGTATTGCTTTGCAGGTTTAAGCCGTTTCGCATCACGTGCCACGATGTGACTCAAAGCGGTGCGACTCTCGCTACCATTTGGTTGCTCTTGCTACACATCCTGACTAAATTAATTAGACGAACTCTATACTTCTTTAAGGTAGGAATCTAACTTGGCTTCTGTGACGCTGAACAGGATTTGAGCCCTAGTTATTACTTTGACTCAGCGTGGTGGTATGGTTACTAAATCAAGACCAAATGGGAGTTGAGTTGGGTGGGCGCCTTCCAACGTTACATGGTCTTCCTGAAGTACACAAGGAAGGCGCTCTAATGCGTTCAATCTTGGATATGCTAGGATCCCTATAGCATTTGTTGGCCCAATTGTTGGTGGAGAAGCTAAAGTCGGTACTCAATATGACCTGCACTTAATGCGTAAGAGATTCCTTTTAATTCCTTGAGAGGAAATCCAAACTTTGCCTTGCAAACAAAAGAAGAATATCACTTGACGCCCAGTCACTGTTCACAGACATTGCACCGCTCGAAGCTGGGGAGTACGTTTGAAAACCGGCTTTACAACTGCCAATTTATGCAGTTTTTCTGAAAGCTCTGCTTAAAGAGGCATCAGTTCGGTGCACTGTAAATGTTTAGTTCACATTCAGTGGTTAAATGCACCGTCAGATTGATAGAATGGCCATGGGATCGCCTTTGGATTCCTTTTTAGCCAATATCTTTATGGTGGAATTAGTACTTAGCCCAATTAGAAAACACATCAATGAGACTGAAATGTATATACTTTATGTGGATGACACTTTCGTACTATGAGAATCGGAAGAGCATGCGGCGCAGTTATTGCAACTCTACTAACGCGCGTGAGTATCTTTACTTCACATGAGAGTACGAGTTTGGAAACCGACTGCCATCTCTGGATGTAGATTTTCGCTGTAACTCCTACGGATCTCTCAGCAGAAAGGTGATTGTTAGCAATACGTCGATTGAACAATACACGAACATCCACAGTGCTTTGCCCTTACAGTACAAGAGACGTTTTGTCCGATATATGGCCTTCAGGAAGCGCAATATTTGCATCATGGATGCAGTGAATGAAGAATTGCAGAGAAACAGCGATGTCCTGAGAGAAATGAACTAGGAACAATGGTTTATGACGAGAAAAAACCATTGCCTGACAGGTCCCGTAGGATGACTGCAGTGGTGATTGTAAAATAACTGTTTAAAGTGACTGTATAAAAGAAAATTTCTGGTTTGAGTGGACTCAAGGGGGTATTCACATGAGCACATGCTGTTCTGCTCACCGCTCCGTAACTGAGTATGCTGGTGAGCACACCGTTGGCGTTAATTCGTCTTTCGATGGATGCAAACTATGCCATGTAATGTAATTGAGATAGAATGCTGTCTAATCAATTCTTAAAAAAGGTTAATGTGGGGTGAAAATAACTTGAAAAGCAGAGGGTACCAGGTTCTGGATGTGTGTAAGGAGAAAATGTTTTGTCGGCAATCAAGTCGACCGTGGTGTGTGGTCAATGTGAGCTGATGGTCTCTCAGCTGGGTATTGTGGATGACTTAAAACTAATCGCGACAGTCCGGATTGAGGTGTCAGTATTTGACACACCATAATATGGTCACTTCACAGGCGCCGGCATTCGTCGCAGCATTAACCTAGGGCTTGTAGTCTACGTTGGTTAATGGAGATAAAAATATTAACTATTATCGTCGTCCTATGTTGTGGAGCTTCGAGCGCAACCGCATCATGATTGCGCCAAGGTCGTCAGGCCTGTATCGCGTACTCCATGTGAGGCCTGACGTAGGCTTTTGACAATCGTGAAAAGATTGATGGCTCGAACGTCCCGAACGCACATGGTAGGAGGCCAAAGTGATAATTGGCTCTTCTCGATACCTCTTCGGCGTGTTTCGATCAGCCAATGTCGTCCTACACGATTACCTCGAGGACGCTTTCCTGCGTAGCAAATAACAACAGCTGCTGTCCCAGTCGATATTTGTGAGTACACTGCACTTTGCATTGCACAAAGTTAAACCGAAGCCGATCTTCGGAGTAACATGTGTAGGCCCTGTCCTGATCTATTTGTAGTGCCGCGTGGTCGTCTACCCTGTCGTTGTCGTGCCAGATCTTGATAGTGTCTGTGAATAGTAAGAAGTCTGACTGGAGCACACTAGCGAGATCGCTGACGAATACTAATAACAAACGTCGTCCCAGTACGGATCTTTGAGGCACTCCACACTGGACTTCAATCAAGTCGGAGATGGATCTGAGAATCGTCATATTCAGCTAACGTTAAGTGAGGAGGTTGCATCTCCAACCTAACACATGATCACCGATTCCATGGCTTTGCAGTTTGTAAAGAATAATGAAGTGGTTCAGACGTTCGAATGCATTAGAGTAGTCTAGGTATGCGACCTCAATTTCTTGCCTTGCGTCGATTGACTTCGTCCAGCTTGCTCTTGCCAGTAACAAGTTTGTGGTTTAGGACCGATTTATTCGGCATCCATGCTGCTGTGACACTGTGATGTTGTTTCTCTCAAGGGATCGACGATTATTCCTTCCATAACTTTCGATGACACTGGAAGAAGGTAATTCGCACGGTAGTTAGAGAAGGCTCCGCGCCATTCCCAGTCTTAAAAATAGGAGTAACTACGTCCTGTTTTCAAGTGGTCGGAACTTGCATTTCTTTAAGGCACTGTCGGAAGAACCGGGTCAAGGGTTCGGCAAGGTTCATGGAGACGGTTTTTAATGACTCCGGTCTGATACTGTCCACACCAGGGGTGATGTGCATACGCAAGCGCAGTAGACTTTCCATCATATCTGCAGCAGTGAAGTATGCGTGGCATAATCCTGGATACAGAGTGAGCTGTATAATGTACCGGTGAGGTGACGATCCACTTCGGAAAGTACGGGTAACCTGTTACCGAAGCACTTTCGACGCATCACACGTAGTGAGCATCAGACTATCTGCGGCACTTAAAATTGGGATCCAGCGGTACATAATACGGAGCTTATCCACGTGCCTGGAGAACAAGTTAGGATTAGTAGTGAATTTCATGGCTAAGTCCTGTTGGTGTTTGAGCTTGTCTTCACGGACTAATTTGGCACCTTGATTAGCTGAGTTGTATAGGCAATCCAGGCCTGCACATCCGGACAGACTTCAAAAGCGCGCCAACTCGAATCCCTTGTGCCCACGCAGTTTCCTAACCGGTTGTTCAAAAAGAGCTTTCTTTGCTTTGGGCGAAGGACTTTGGTTTCAGACACCTTTGCTACTGGCCAGCTGAACAGGGTGACAAATTCCTTCCAACGAATTCAGGAGGCTACACAGCTAGAAAAGGCCAGTTGGTTTGTTGAACGATGTTGGAGAGGGTATCATAATTGGTAACAACGTGAGCTTCCACGCTGTTTTCGCAGATGTATTCCGCGTAGCAGGCGTATCTGAAGATCAGAGTCTCCTGATCGGGACGGCCAAGCGAGTCACTTTTTATACTGTATCAAGCATTAGCTCTTCGTTAGTTAACACAAGGTCTAAGACAAATGGTTCGTCTCCAGTTCTTAATCTCGTACTAGCGGTTTCCTGGTTATACAACGGTACATCAGTGATTATTTCTGCAGTTCTTCGCTTTATAGCAGAAGCCAGAGAGTGATCTATTTCCAGGGTGGAACTTGGATGGCGGTATATAATAGCAAGTAAGCACATATCACCACATTTCAGTTGCAGGCGTCACTGCGAAGATTCGAGAAATTTAGTTGCTTGTTGGTCAATGAAATCGATCTGTAGGTCAGATCGGTAGTACAAGAGCACTGCGCCTCCTCTGCTGGGTCGATGGTTTCGCAGAAGAGTCATGCCTGGCAGGGCTAGCTCGGCATCATTGATGTCAGTATTCAGCCATGTTTCAGTTAGCATGGTGATATCCCAACCTGTTTAAGTGTGAAGAGTACAAAACTTAGTTAAATTACGGGGAGGACCTTGAGACTTGGTATACAAACAAGTGAAGTCTACAAAGGCCATTAGACAAAATTATCTCCAAGCAACTACGGGAACACAAACGCAAGCTGCCTAAGTGCATTCCTCCTAAAAGCTAGCTATTCCTGTGCTTGCCAATTAAAGGAGATTCTGTTGCGGATACTATCCAAACTTTTGAAAGATGCTGTTTGGAAGACATTTCGCGGCACGATCGAAATTGGTTACTACAACAAGATATTTTTTGCAAAACCCTTGAAGAATGAACTGCCGTCATTGATCCGTTTTCGCCCCCTCATCGGTAGTTGTGTACTTGTGGTACATGCTACATGAGTCGTAGTGTGAGTCTTTTATCTCAGAGGATTCTGCAACACATTCCAACCAGTTTCTACAATAGCAAGATGAGATGCTCAAACGGCTGTATCATGTAATACCTGCCTGATTCTGGTCAAGCAGCCTCTGGGAGTGACTTCAAATTTACGTACGCACTATCTGAAATTTTTCCAGCTTCTTCAACAAGCAGCTCCTATCCATTATTGACGATATATTTATCCACCATTTAAACTCAAAACTAAGTGTGTAAAAGCGGTACCCAGGTCCGTTATCACTTCCTTGCCCAACGGACAATATTACGCGAGCTGTTGATTGTCGTCTGGGCTTATGTGTATTCTGTTCTATTTTGTTTTGATTACCATCCATAGCCTACTTCTGAGCTCTCGAGTGATCCTTCGAGCAACCCAGAAATCAATGTTCAGCGGGCTTTGACGCTGACAACGCCTAATCGCTACAAAGTAAAGTTTGCATCCGTTGTGAATTTACTCAAAAATAATTCGTCACCCAACTTTCAGTTGGTCTTGATTTGATCAGTCCAATTGATATATTTGCTTTACTGAAGAGCAGCTTTATCCGTGATTCATTAAAGCAGGGCATCTGTATCACTATACGCTTGCATTGACGATTTACACTTATGTTTGCTTTCAGTGCAACCTACGGGACTTGTAAATCAATAGCTTCTTTACCTATGATATATGGTTGTTCATTGTTCATTGTTTATAGGTATCATACCTGAAAAGGAACGTGGTTTGGTGGGTCGAAAGAAGGTTCGAAGACGGATGCGAATGAAGGTACCGCAAATATACACTGTAAGATAGCAGCCGATCTGACTACTTGAATTACCAATTCATTATCACTTGCAGCTCAACTGATACTGAGCGGCGAACAAAACGATTTCAATGCGATTGCCTTTACGGTGTCTCCACGGGATAAAAGTAAACCTATAATAGACATTTAAAATTAAGTACCACTTACTTTCTGGATACAAATAACAGTAGCTTGGAATAGAGGAGAGAATTACTTTGAGCATACATATTGAGGAAACATATTTGAATGCTTGCAGTAGATGTTTACTGAAAGTATGTGATGAAATTAAAACCCAGTTTATCAAGAGCTGGAAAAAAGCTTATCATTTAAGTTCACTTTGTAGTAGCAAACCAGAACAGAATAATTAGGCTTGGCAAATTTCCTCTTCAGTCGGACCTCTGCTCCTTCAGACTTTGTACTAAAATCGCCGTCATATGAGAACTCTAGCAAGGGAATTGAATTCAGAAGAGGGGTTCACGACTGGCACAGGTCTAATTCCTTGATCAAAGTTTAGTAGAAATGTCCAATTAGTGTCCGCCCTATTACGGCACATTCCTTGGTATCTTGAGATGGCTGAATGTTCTCACGGACAGTCCTCAATTGTCAGCTACTAGGTTCGCTAATGAGTGACGATCAACTGCTAGCGAACAATATTTGTATTGCTACATTTTCTCCCTCGACTTAGTCCATGACTATTGCGATGTCCTCGTAACTATTATGCGGAAGCTTTAACATAGATGCGCATATGCTATTTCAGTTAGTTTGGCGATTCCCAGCAGAACCAATTGCTTTAACTACTAGGACCACATTAGAACCTTTGAGTATGAATTCTAACCTTCCATTTTAGGGACCTGGAAAATGAAAACATGTTGTCCGGATCCATCAGTATGTGATGGTAATAATTTTCCTGTCACACTTATCCCATTTGAGACAGACATAATCATTGTGCTCGTAGCTTGCTTTGGCTTCATCGCAAATCTGATGTCACAATCCAAACAAATAAATGGCGAAATTCCGGCCGATGACCACCCAACCACTATGCATTTCGATAATCACACCCACAATTAACATTTCATCGCTTCGTTATTCCCCTCATTTGGCTGATACGCGGCCAATCAGTTTAGTCGCATATTGGCAAAAGTTGCATACCGCAGGTCTGGCGGCAGACCGAATTGAGAATAATTACAGAGACAATTAAGCAGTTTGAGTCCAAAGCTCATACGTTTGGTTGCAGAAATAAATCAAGAGGTTTTTCTCTGTGTTCAATATTCGAAGCACCTCCAAATGTATGCTTAATTGTATGAATTCTATAGCTTAAACTATCAATATAACTTTGGATTTCACCAGAGAAGCCTGCAAATTAACGGCAAAACCCATTAAATCCCCTGTTTTGCTATAAGTTAAAGTCATCATCCGGCGTACCGTGTATTATATGCAATGCAGTAGCAAGATGATGCATGGGGGTGCTTCTGACTGCGCATTTTTTGAACACTACCGCCCATATGAAAGAAATGCATAATGAAGTAAGCATTTCATCAGTTAGTTATGTGCGCTGTCCAGATCTTGGCACGTCGCTACGCCTTCCTCCCCAAAACTCAACCAGGGTCTCAAGGGAAAGACAATGATTTGAAGCTTAACCTAGGAATTTTCATCGGCTGACAAATAGTCGTTTCAATGATGTGAACTCCCAGATATCACTTTAAAAACATCTACCTTGTCTGATACAGCTACGCGCCCTGGTTCGCTTTTCTCATCACTGCTCTCTCAAGGGATGCACTCGAACGGCTGGTTAGTTGCAATACCGGACGGATTAGCGTATCGTGAGAAATTAACGTCTGCTCAGCGACTCGCGTTTGGAGAGATCTTTTCCTTGATTTCGTGATTAGAGGTTATCAGTTGTGTTTGCAGGAACTTATGACTCAGTGTCAGGAAGCAAGGTTACACTCATCGGAATTAGAAAGTTTTCAGTTTTCCGGGGATGAGTCAAAATCTTAAAGTCTGGAAAACGATAGCGTCAAGTTTGGGTAATTCGTTAAGCGTCTAAATTGACACGTACTTCGGCCCATAATCTGAGGCTGGACGGAATGTAGCAGAGTTCAGCTTGAGTCCCACCCTGAATATTCAATCGCTTCCATAGGTGCGATGTGCAAAATGGTTCCGACACCAACAGTCGATACACTGTATGTCCAATGTAGGTCATCAGTTTGCTGAAAACCAGTTGACAACTGAGCGCATAATATTTGTCCATCTATCGATTAAATTGCGGAGATGCGACACACGGTTATGTCCGTGCGCAGAAATACAGCTACATTGTTGAGTGAACTGTATTACTTCGATTATGAATTTAAACGGGTGTTTATGGCATTTATATTCCAAGTATAACCGGCTACCATTACACTCATATAAATTGCCACAGCGGGATATGAAAGGGCGTGTTTTGTGTACTGAGGCACTGATAGATTCTGTTATTTGATCAGATTTTCCACAATTGGTCATGTAAGCATTTTAGCACGTAACAAACAAACCATCCATCCATTTGTACTTCTAACCTTACCAGGCCAAATAGGGTCTGTAGGGTAGGCAGGAGCAGCGATGTCCCAATGTACTACATTCGATTATAACAACTATTTAAAGTACTTTAAAAGTAAGTGACAAGTGTATCATCTGCCAAAGAGTCATACCATCGCACAGCCAACTCCTGTATTGAGTGCGTCTTGCAACATTATTAAATCATCCAAATTAACAGTCGTTCATTCCGGATCCAATTCCGCCTATATACTAATCATAACCATATGATCGTACTCTATGGTTCTAAACTGTCGACGGAAGATGCAGGTACACTATTATGCGCTGTGATATGTATGTTCATAAAATCCTGTGCCTGTAGGACGGAAACCACATAGCACAACAAAACGACAAGCTTACGTTCATAACCCGCAGGAAGGACAAATGATTAACAAAAATTGCTGTCCAATTGGCTGCAACCAATAACTATCATTGCAGGCAGTTTTCCAAGTTTACGCGTCATCTTGGATGGTATGGCAAATGATTCAATCTGTTTAAAGAGGAGCACCGATTTATTCGTTCCTACTATAGACCCAAAACCCCCAAAGGTAAAAAGGACTCCGAAGCATGCCGATTTCATTATGACACATAAACTGGTGTCGTCAACACCACAATAAATCTGCAAGTTATTTTTCAACCTAAACGTAAGTAGAATGTGTAGTTATGTTAACTAAGCAATGTTCATGGTTCATCTAAAAGTTAATTGAAAATGTACAAAATGCCATCAAATTCACTGATCAGTTTCCACAACGACTGTCGCTAACGTCAATTTATAATATTCTTAAATCCTACAGTTAATATTGGTCGTCCATTAGATTGACAGCGTATTCCGTGGAGGTGAAGAAATAGTGTGATGGAACAACGCTGAATTGTACTGCTATTTCAAGTGTCTGTATGTGTTAAACTTTCAATTTATTCCAACAGATTCTAAACTCTGCAATGTATAGTACAGTTCGTCTGTCACCACCTACCACCACTGAGTCACGACACGAATTTGAGGGGTCACCAGTTCAAGTTAGCCACGTAATACAATCAGCTAGAATGTGGACAGAACTTTTACTCTCTTCTTGTGTGTCAGCCAAGGAACGCCATAAGAAATTACTTTGTTTCTGCCCCCACCTTACCTGTGTTTAAAAAGTATCTTGACGTTGCCCTAACCCACCTACACTAGGAGATATAGCCTGTGTGACTCGATAGAAGATATAACGCGAGGAACGTCGCAAAACCAGAATTAATCTACACAACTGACCTTGTGCCTTTCTGCTTGCCTCCGTGTTAACACTGTGGTGTGCTCACAAAGACGATTTTCATTTTATCCCTTTATTTTTTATTCACCATGTTGTGGCTCTCATTTTGGCCAACACACGGAAATTACTAAGCATCCGCTTTTCTTCCCGTAAGATATCATGGTTCCATTGCCTGATTAAAGACTACATGCAGGCAAGAATGCAATGCATGGCTAAGTCAAGAGCGATCGGAATATGTTTGACTCGTTTGATGCAGCGTTGTTTGGCCCACCTTTCAGTACAATTTTCAGTACAACTTTCAGTACAATTTTTATTACCCCCATGTAAGAATTTGGTGCAAACCGTAGGAAGAGGTAAATCTGTCTCTAGACGGTGATTGGCAGGCTACCATTTACTCCTCTGACAATCCCCAGCCTGGTTTGTAGCACCCAATTTTGGTGATTAAGAGGCACACTGTTTGGTATCAGGCGAATTTTGGAGATGAAAGCACTGTAACTCAGATGTTCACATCATATCAGCTGGCGTTTTTCGACACGTCGGTCAAGCGTTCGCACAAATCGGCTGCGTCACCGATGCAAATCACATCTAGTGCTTTGAGCCGAAAGCTAGGATTGTGTACCTATGGGAAACAGCGCTTAATCGGTATAAGGAACGCCAACTCAATGTGTCCGTATGAAGCACGTTTGTTAAGTACATCGTTACCACTTCCGGATTACCTGCCTCGTTGACCCGGTTCTCAGCAGATGTTCCACACATTAAAACACCTTCTGAAGACCATTTAGAGGACAAAGTTCTTCAACTGTGAAACGGGCAACGTATTTGACAAACAGATTGAATCAGTTACTATTTCAGAAAAATTATTGAAAGTGCTCAAGCCTTGACCTCGCTTGCCCTAAGGAGCCTAAGTGGCACGTAGTAAACACTGTATGGCAATCCCATCTCCCAGTTTAGATGGCTCACGAATTCATAGGCAATAAATTGAAACGTAGTCTTCAGTGGTGGAGAGTTTCGAAGCTGCTTATCCTAACACTGCACTTCACGACCTACCAGTTTCGTCCTAGCCTGGACTAGTCAACTAGAGATTGTATAAGCTGAGCGTGGAAGCAAACACAATGGTTGACGGCTTATGCCTTTGCCACTAGGCCAAAGCTCCACTATCAGCGCCTGAAAAACTTTTAGAACTACAATGTTAGGTTTTAGATTACACGCCGTGTTTGTGTTGCGACACGCATTTTTAATT